GGATCTTTAGAAGCACTCCGCGGAGCGAAAGAATTCATCCGCCCTTGTCGTAATTTAAAAATAATAGCCGCATTACAAACGGCCGCACAATTACCGACGATCAAGCAGCTGTGATCCAGCAGTGATTTCTCAGGACGCGCGTGCGTGAAGGCGTATGCGTTTACTTTGTATAGGTGCGAATACAAAGCTGCGTGGTCATGCATTATTCAGCTGGGCCATGAATATCCCGCTCAGCAGGAATGATGCATATCCATACAGAGGGCAAATAGAGTGTGTGTATTGAGCTAGCTTGGCCGCATGCACACATACTGTGTTGTTTGTGTAGTGCATGACACCAGACCATACAGTGCGCTGAATGCCTTGTGTTATGCGGTGCACTATTTTAGCCACGATACATCGCCAAGACTGAATAAATAGGTCCCGATTTTACAGACAAATTCACGTGAAAATTGTCGTCCGAAGCGCTTGCAAATTTCCTGTTCATGGAATATGAAACTAACTCCAACCATAAATATTGTTATCATTGTTGTTAAAACGATGGTGCTGTTGACCATGAATATTGTTATCATTGTTGTAGAGACGATGGTGCTGTTGACCATGAATATTGTTATCATTGTTATAGAGACGACTGTGCTGTTGTCCATGAATATTGTTATCATTGTTGTAGAGACGATGGTGCTGTTGACCATGAATATTGTTATCATTGTCATAGAGATAACGGTTCTGAATGTTGTCAGATTTCAAAAGATCCTCCCAATTCTCTTATGAATAATTATTACTGAACAAACGAACCTGACAGAGCCATGGGTTAAGTTTTAGACTACTCTTGAATGTAAGGTTCACAAGTAGACGAAAAAGCTGTGAAGAACGAAGATTACCTGCCCAAATAATTTAATACACCAAAGTTTTATTGACGGAAAGTCAGTAGGCTTATATAGGTAGAGCTATATAGCACGTATAAGGCTTGTCAGACTTACGTCACACATAACCGCGGTTGATGGTCATTTATTATGAAGAAACGTGCTCATCCAAACACCGGCTTCAATAATCGAAGACACTTCTACCTGCCATTGTCGCTCCATCTCGCAATGAATTAGAAAGAACCTCTTTCGTTAAGGCACAGTGCAACGTCTCTGTACAGCTACAATTAATGAACGGGTTCACACGAATATGTCGAACAGAAGCAACGTCTCTGTACAGCTACACTGAACGGGTTCACACGAATATGTCCAACAGAAGCAACGTCTCTGTACAGCTACACTGAACGGGTTCACACGAGTATGTCCAACAGAAGCAACGTTTCTGCACAACTACAATGAACAGGTTCACACGAATATGTCGAACAGAAGCAACGTCTCTGCACCAGCTACACTGAACGGGTTCACACGAATATGTCGAACAGAAACAACGTCTCTGCACAGATACAATGAACGGGTTCACACGAATATGTCGAACAGAAACAACGGCTCTGCACAGATACAATGAACGGGTTCACACGAATATGTCCAACAGAAGCAACGTCTCTGTACAGCTAAAATGAACAGGTTCACATAAATACGTTTATGTGAACGTGTGTGAACATAAACAAGTATGTTTGTGTGAAAATAAACGTTTATACATATATGCCGACGTTTGTTCAAGGAGGATGCCAATACAATTCGTTTATTCGTGAGGCATGGCAAAACCAAACGTTTACTAATGGAGAATAGAAAAAAGAACACTGTTGGTGCATGCACAAATTACAACGAATTCATAACCTTACTTCGCACACTTTTGCTTGAAGAAATTTTCCGTCCAGCTGTTTCCGTTGCTTGGCGGTCGTCGAAACGCTGGTCTGTTTCCGTTTGGCTATCGGAGAGATGCAAGTAGTTTAACGTGATCTAAAAATAAAAAATATTGTAGTTGTATGCACGTGATCAGTAAAATATAGCGTGTGATGAAAGCCTCCTCCGAGTGGAGTTACTTTTACCTTGGTAGGTTGTAAACTTTTCTTGCGAGTCGTACCATGCCTACCCAAAGTACATCAAACTTTTAAGAAAATAATTAAGACCGAATTCTAAAAATAAACCACACAAAACTAAGTCTTGGTTGTTTCCAGATCTAGATGATCTCATGTTGGAGTTGTAAGTTTATTCTGTGAAGAACAAATTTCAGTGTTAGATTGATTTATTTTGAGTCCACTCTGTATCATTCACTTAAAAATAAGCATGTTCATAATCAGTTATAAAATTTGTTAGATGCATTAAAATTCTAACTATGACTTGAGAGCAGGAATTAATACAGCACATAACTCTCATAGACCATCGGTAAATCATAGTCAATCATCTGAGCAAATTAGCATAACTAGCAATGGAAACACACTATTTAATTTGAGCAATTATGTCACTGCACCAGTTTTTCTGATGTGTTTACGAAACAAAAACTTGCCCAATGCTTCCGCATGTCTGTGGGAGGAGCGGGGACGTATCGCGCCTCCGGCAACCCCCGCAGGTCAGCCCGCGGCGCAGCAGCTCTCTTCGCTGGCGTCCTAGACTAGTCAGCAGTAGAAACAGAATCCGGGTCTGACGCCGGCCGGCTCTCTAACACCAAGATCTAAATTAATATTTAATAAATTTGTATTAAATTAGAAGCTACCTTATCAAAATTGATAAGGTCGTTTTTAAAAAGGATAAGAAGTCATAAGTGTTGTGTATCGCAATCACTCACTCTTTTAAACACAACTGCGACGGCTGGTAGCCTACACAAAAGTCTCACCCTGAGTCTATCGTCAACCTTTGCAGTAGCAATTGCTGAGAATATGGCTTCTCTCCATTTAACGAACATTTAGGATTCAAATTTGAATTTTTCTTCACTAGGCAATGCAAACCATAGGCGACGATCGCTTATAGAAGCAGCCGTCCCAATTAAGAGTTTATATCGTTTTAGGTTGATGGGTTTGAGAGTCAAGGGCGGGATCATTAATTTTGATAAAGTTTATAATGTCGATAAAGCTATTACAATACAACAATCTCGAATTATATATGATTGTAAGAGTGCTGCTAATCGCCTAGAGCTAACAAATATTTATGATAAGTCTTGTGATGAGTAAAAATCTAACGAGATGTCCAGAGGTGGGCAGTAGCGCGCTACATGTAGCGGCCGCTACATTTTCAGTAGCGGTAGCGGCTCTACATTTAAGGCAATGTAGCGGTAGCGGTAGCGCCCGCTACATATTTTCTTTACAACTGCATTACGCAAAAACTATTGCATGAACATCCATGGTAGTAGCTTTGTTAAACGCGTCTTGTTTGTAGCTTTCAAACGAGTGCAAACACTTTGCAATTAACCTAATTAATGACATATAAATACCATTCATTTGTAAATAATGATATAAAATGAACATTTTATAAAAGTTCAAGACTGCATTTCACAAAAAAGTATTGCATATACATCTATGGTAGTAGCTTTGTTGAACGCGTCTCGTTTATAGCTTTCAAACGAGTGCAAACACTTTGTAATTAACGAGAGTAATGACTAGTGTCAACATGTTAGTTGTTACTTGTTAAGTTGTTACCAGTTACCACTTACAGGTTTTTTCATCTTTCAGTTTGCTTACAGTTATTTTTACACAGTTATTTTTATGTTTCACCTTCCCTACATGGATGTCTACTTTAATCTACCAATCTTAAAAATATTCCCCTATATATATAAAAAGACTGATTTTTATATGTATATGTGGATAATTTCTTATATTGGTAGATTAAAGTTCACATCCATGTAGGGAAGGTAAAACATAAAAATAACTGTAACTTTTATTTACTGTATCTAACCCTGGGGTAACCCATACTAGTTCGGTTAGGTTAATTGCAATAAAGTTGCATTGATATGTTTTAAAAATGTTTTATTATCATCAAATGTTACTGAGTAAATCCCAATAGCAGATCAATAAATATTTAGAGATTTCCAATAATTTTGGCAATTGCAGCGGCTAATGTAGCGCGCTACATTTTACTGTAGCGGTAGCGGTAGCGACCGTTACAATCTGGTGTGTGTAGCGGTAGCGGTAGCGCTCGCTACATTTAGAGCATGTAGCGGTAGCGGTAGCGCCGCTACATTTAGAGCATGTAGCGGTAGCGGTAGCGCCGCTACATTTCCAAGTAGCGCTGCCCAGCTCTGGAGGTGTTGATGATTGAGTCTGTCGTCCAACGGCCTGCCGCGCGTAAAGTGACGCTCGGAAAGCAGGAGGAAATTATGCATCCGGGGCGGCGCGTGGCGTGTGACGCACGTCGCACCCCCAACTGCGCTGCTGCTTCACGAGTGGTCTTTGCAGTTCCTTTGAAATTCTTATTTATACTTTTAAACAACTAATCACCTGGAAAACCTTTCTAATTGAAAAAAGAGGTTTATTATTCATTAATTATTCAGATGAAGTCAAGATGAATTATTAATCTGGAAAATAACCATCTCTGAAATATAAGCAAAGACCAAAACTGCAGCCAGAAAACAAGATCTACCGACATAGATAATTACAATGATCATGCACGATATAATCTATTGTTCCTAAGATGCAACTGATTGGTTTACTATACCTCTGCTTATCTGATATAATGTCTCAGAATAATATGATTATTGAGAGAGAGTCTAGTCAAATCTAAACCCCACCGTGTCCGTCACCCAACATCGAATAAAGTTACCCGTCTCGGGAAACGACAATCTCGAAACTACGGTCTCGGCAACATTTAGAATATTGGGTATCAAATTGACATTCAAGATACCAATATCTAACGTAAAAAAAACTCGGCTATAATTTAGCTAAAGAACAGCACGTAAGCACGAAAAACTATAGTTCGCCCTGGCCCGCAGTGTCTATCAAAAATGGCATAGAATGTCAAGTGGGTTCGGTGCTCCTGTGGACTTGACCGGTCGCAAGAGCGTTCGTGTGGCGGCTCTGGAGCTACGCTGCCGTCACTAGAGCAGCCTGAGCTGAGCCGCTGAGCGTCACTGAGTCAGTTGCACCGAGCGAGCTGTCGTGTGTGGTTGTGTTACCTTGATGTCTTGGTCACTGTCAGTGACTGGTCCTCAAATCCTGGCGTTTTCTGAGTTTAAAGTCAACCTTAATAATTTCGTTGACAATTTTAAAACCACCGAATAAGTGGAAATAAACTTGCCATATTAATTCACTGTTCGCGATAAATTGCCTAAAAAATCTGATATATAGCCGTTTATCATCGCGGTATCGCCGCTGAACTTATCTTCACAGCATTGCGATGACCAACCTAACCGTGCTGAGGTCTGCGCAGCACGCAGGCTGGCAAGGCTACTGTTGGCCATTCTCAGGTAGGTAATTATAGTGATGGTCATATGAAACTGTTTGACTAAATTAAATTTACAAATATGGATGATATCTGTGCGATGATTTTTCTTCAAATTGCCTTCAATGCATTGATGCGTGTATAAATCATTAAATATTTTGTAATTATATTTTAGGATCGCCGTCGGATTAGGTACATGAACATAATCTTCTCCTTGAATGTAATTTAAGAACTAGCTAGTTACAGTACAGAATTACAGCAAAAAAAACACTTGTGAAGTAACTCGCTCTTGTTAGTCTGGTAACTGGTTGGCAACTTGGCATTAATACTTAAGTTAATTAATATTATCTTTGAATTTACTGCTCTTTATTTCATTCACAAAATTTTTTTCCGACGTTTTCTCGTGTGTTTATTTATTAGAATTTTCTTTGACCAAAACCAAAAATACCAAAACTTTTGTATTACATGTTCAAGTTTTATTTTCAAACTCTCATGCCTTAAGGCGGAAACTTTCTATATTAAGAATCTATAAATTTCCATCTTTCCTGAAATTATAGATGAGAATTTGTGTCGCATCATTGATGGATTTACAGCGCTATTGCAGTAGGTTTGTTTGAGAAAAATTGCATCTTTTTGAAATTCTACGGATCGACCTCTTCATTATTCAAGTGCATTAACTACTTCAAACGGTAGCGAATTTGATCTTTTAATTATCGATAGGCAGCATTACCTTGAACAGAACGATACTATTTTCTCGGCTCTTTTAAGTCCCTTTATGCAACATATATTGAAAACTCCTGTACGTTAAACCCATTATGATGAGTTATGTACTCGTAGTTCATCTTGACTATCGAACATTCCAGCTCTGATGCTCCTGGGTTTCGTGGGTCTACATTTAACAGGAAGTTATATTTCCTAGTCAGTAGTCATCCCACAAGGATATGAACAGTTGTTGTTCTTTAAATTGAATCCAACATATTCATGCCTTTACTGCCCAAGAAAGCATTAAAAATCGAAATATTTTCATCCTTGTAATTTCTGTCAGTCCTCATTTCGGTGCCATAACCTGTTTTTCTGGTAAATTTCGTAAACACCAAGATTTTGACTTAAGGCAAACCAGCGTTTAGTAGAAGATAGTTGCTCTAATTTCAGACTTTTTTCCCGTCTTGCAGGTAATGGTTTCCCTGTAACCGCTCCTCCAAGCCCGGCTGCGCCCAGCATGGCGAACCCATCGCCATGTCGTCCTGCATCACCTGCTCACATCACAGCAGCATCGCCATCATCGTACCAGCTGCAAAGACTCTCCCGCGCCTACGAAGAGCACCTCCTGCAGTTCACGGCTGCTGCAGCAGCGGCGTCTGCTGTGGCAGCCTCTGCCGCAAGCCATACCAGCGTTAAAATGGAGCCTCTGTCTCCTGATCCACTCCCTCAAAACAGTAGCAAAGGTGGACGGGCACCGCGAGATGCCAACCCAGCGACCAGCGGCAAAAATAAATCAAAACAAAGTCGCTCTTCCCCGTCACATTCAACACTGACGTCCGTGGCCGCCAACAAAACGCCGTCGCCAGCGGTTTCTCCTAAGTCCCAGAACTCGGCTAGAACGAAGACACCGATTTCGTTTCCTGGCACTCCCCCTCATTCTTCATTCACTCCACCTACTGCTGTACCTCCTGGGTGCTTCAACCCGACCTCTTATGGTGGACTGGGCACCCCAACTTCAGCTCCGATGACAACCTCGCCACGAAGTCCACACTTTATGGAGCCTCCTTCATTGCCGCGTAATTGCAGTGACCTCATGAGGAGTCTAGCCGCCAAGTATAACAACAATAATAACAACGAGTGAGTATCCTTTGCATATAGGATTATTGGGGTATATTGATTTGATATATGCTTAGCCTTGTCAATCGAACATAAGTAAGAATGTTACAATAGTTACTTCCTACTATCAATCGAACATTAGTAAGAATGTTTAAAGTCAAACAACGAACAATTTTCTAAGAAAAAAATACGTTTTTTGCAGGTTCTTTTCCAGTCAAATGAGCAAATCCTTCGCGCGTGGAGGCCTGAACCCTCGTTTGCCCGGCACTGCAGGTTATTCCTCACCATTGAATGCCTCGCCCCGTTCCGACGATTCCCTCCATGATGGTTTTAACTTATCGAAAGCAAGCCCCGCTAAACTGTTCTCTCCGTTTCTGCCTCACTCCCCCATGAATGACATGTACCAGTCCCCAGTCAGTCCTCGTCATTCGTCGGCCGCAGCCCTCATGGACTTGATCCGTAATTCTGCCTCTGCCACGTCCTCCCTCGACGTTACCCCACACAACTTAAGTTCCTCCGTCAAGCGATACGCCGATACTTCTCCGCTGGATCTTTCCTCCAGCGACTCTGCGAAAAAATTGCGAAGGGATTCATCTCATCAAGCTTCTACCTTTTCTCCGCTGACATTGGAAGAACCAATTTCACCTATAGACTTTGAAAAAAATATACCAGATGTAAGATTATCACCTGACGTTTCTAGATCTTCTCAAAAGTTTTGCTCGCATTCCAGAGTTGGAAATGTGTCTGAATCTCGGTCTGATGCGTCAGACATCAGCAAGCATATTACTTATCCATCAATGTTGAAGGCAAGCCCTCTGCCAGATAAGCGACTTTCATCATCTACGGGGACCGCAGATACGATGCTAGAAACTCAACAGAAGGATTGTAATCCGAATGCCTCTTCAGCGCATCCTGCGGTGCTGGCGTGGTCAATGCAGGATGTATGCGCCTTCGTCAGGAGTATCGATCTGTGTGCTGAATATGCAGATGTAAGTGAAAAACAACGAGTCTACTTTAATTAACCATTTTTTATCCCAAAGAAAAATTGCTTGTTTTTTTGTAATCGAATTTGCCATTCAGTTCTACATACTTAGAAATGCAGACAATTTCGAGTTGCAGAGGTAAATGTAATTAACTTAAACCGGCACAATTTTTGAAAATAACAGCCCTGAAATGTTATAACATGTTTGCGATACTCTTAATTGCTCATTTTCTAGTGTTTATAATTGTTCTAATTATTTGCCTTTGATCCCATCTGCAGATGTTCTTGGATGAGCGTATCGACGGCTGGTGTTTGTCGTTACTCACCGAGTCTCACTTGACGGGTAACTTGGGCATGAAACTTGGCCCGGCACTCAAGCTCAGGTCTATGCTAGCCTCCGTGTCCTCCATGCCCTGTGATGGTCGTACTGTGTATGCTATAAATGAAACGAAACTTAGTGCAGCCAGAAACATCGATGGTCCTTCCAATCTTACTAATATTATGAATAATTTTGTCAACATCTCTACTAATAATAACGAAGTTTCTTGTAAAGCGGCTCAAAATGATCGGATTTCAAATAGTTCACTGAACACGGAACTTTCCCCGTTTCGGAACTCAAGAGCCTCACCGGCAACTCCTGGTGCTGAACCGAACACATCGTCACCTCCACACGAGGAGTAATCATTTTATTACAAATAAAAATAATGAGATGCAGTATCGTAATATCACTATAGCTCTTTTCCAGGACATAAATTGAAAAAATTGGTTATAATTACTTATAAAATTGTGCTTCAATGTGGAAGCAGAATTATTGTCTTTAACTTGCGCCTCAAATTTGGCAACGATGATGACTACATAGTGTGTTTTCAGGAAATATCGCTTTTCGTTTATATAATATACTGTACATTCCGTGGGTCTCTCGGGATTACAGGTTGAAGGCAGACAAACTTATGTGACTGGCGAAAATCAAATTATTTGCTGTTCCTTGTTTCTTTATTTAGTTTATTATAATCTAAGCAAGATTCGCATCGATGTCTGCAATACAATCATTGTTACAAATTTCCGTCAATTAGATGGTTTATAATGTAATTTTTTCGTTGCTTTGTGAATATATTCTTTAGGAAAGGCTTACTTTCCACGTGAGACGTAAGCTAAGCTTGAGATATCTATAAAGACTATGTAATTACACTGAAGAACTCCAAGACATTAGTCTGATGATCTTTGTGAATATGCATTGTTTTATTTATTCGATTATTGTTGATAATAAAATTGTTGATCTCCGACCTAATAATTTTATTTTCACGTGGAATGTACATTATAAATTATAAGACTGAAAGCATAACCCGAGTCCAGAGCGCACTACGTACGATGTACGAATACAAGTAAAGCACCAGGCCAGATACTGCGATTTGTCCTATAATTCGCGAATTGTTGAAAAAATTATTATCGAACTCCAAACTTTCATCAATAGCACTGCGGCAGGAATCCCCAACAAATCAGTTCATATCACGAGTATAAGGTTTTCATCTCTGGACAATGCATAGTTTGAAATTGCCGTATTAAGTCTATGTAATTACGTGCCGTAGAGACGGACCTTAACCCCTCTGATTTGATCTGTTGCTCAGTTCATTATTGGAACTTGTGAAGATACGGGATCACTTATAATCATCAACTAATTTATTATGGAATAAGAAATGTGGCGAGTAGAATTTAATTGACCAGCCTTGAGCGCGTCTCAGTGCAGAAATATGAAGAAATGAATCATAGAATTGTCTTGACAATGATGGTAAAGTACCCGTTGCTGTGGGCTCTTGTCTTATTTAAAACCTAAACACCGTAGTTGCTTTAATGTTAATTCGGAGCCATATGGTAACATGACTCGAGACAACAGTGCCGGAGAAGATCAACTGTTTTTTCCTGCTACATGGAAACTGAATTGAGGTAACAATATAATTGCGCCTTTTATTACGGCCTCAATGAGAGTTCAGATTTTTATATTCAAAATTCGAAGAAAACTTGTTGAATTATGATAGAATACAACCTTGTTCATATTAATTCTTATGTTGCTGTTTAAATAATCAAGCAAGAAGTCCCTTGTAACCAACAAATAATCATGTAAACTAGAGGTAGTTGTTGTAAACTAATGACTGGTTCCTTTGTGCACGTGACTGCGTACCATACCCACCAGTACCGAGTGATATAGTTGGTCAAAAATACTTTCTTTGGTACCATACTTTCCAGTACCGCGTGCAAGTTGATCTGCTGCTACTTGGTTTGGTACCATACCTACTAGTACCAAGTTACATTTGATCCAATTATAATTGGTCCGGTCCCATACCCACCAGATATCAATTGCTAGTTGATCCAGCACTACTTGATTTGATGTCATACCCACTGTCACCAAGAACTAGTTGAACAGCACCACGTACGTGGTGTTGTTCAAGTGTGCATATTCTCATTTTTATTACAGTCAACGGAATAAACTGGAAATACAGAAAATGAAATGAGATAGTATAGTATAGAATAGTATCTTCGGCGTTGAAGAATAGGCCTGCGGATAGGCCTGTCGCCGATTCTTGTGCTTTTCTTGACTAGTTCGTAAATCTAAAAGACTGGACTTTTGATCAAATTTTTTCAAAGGACGGTAGGTTTAAAATCGTTTCTAGGCTTTCAGTTGTTACGAAGGGTACTAAGCATTTCAGGACTAAAAATATGCTCCTGCATGGCCTTGTCTAGTCTGTTCTTGAACGCGTTCATACTCGGAGCGTCAACAATATCTTCAGGGAGGCTGTTCCGGATAAACTAGCTTTTTCTGTTTTCCTGCTTGGTTAAGTGAGAAGTTTGAACGAAGTTATGAGGTCGATTAGACGTCTTCAGTTCACGCGAAAAAAAAAACGTTAGAACAAGTGCACTAAAAACTGGGCATCACAGCAAAGTTACAGCTAGTAACGATCAGAAGTTCTTTCTTCGCGCGCCACTTTCTAAAAGGCAGTCAAAATCCACATAAGAAATCACCTGAAGTCATCGCCTCTCACGCGCATCATTTCTCTGGATGCCCCTCATCGGCTGCCCTCTCCCAAGCCTGCGCCGGCCTGATCCCAAAAGTGCCTATCGGCCATCAGGGTATCAAAGAGGCAATTCAGTATTGATGAGACGCGTGGTGTAGGGTATCCAAGAACCCATGCCCACAGATTGGGTCGTGATGGGTAGGCAGGAGCCGCCTCTCAGGGGCTACCTTGGGTCACTGATTCAGGTCATGCCGTCACTTCAAGCCTCCTTTTATCATCCCCAACATTTGTCGTGACTCTGCGCGAAATTCGGTTCAATTTCGATTCGGGTCCAGGGGATTCTGGATCCGGATCTTTTATCTTCCATTTCATGTCTTTGCTTACTTTTGGGTGGGTTATTGCAAATGGGAACATCGCTTTTGATGGCCTCATTGACATTGCATTTTTTTTTAACTTTCCTGCAATTGTTCTCGGATACATGAGGTAATAAGGTCAAGTTGTGGCTTAGATTTTTGCGATGTTGAAAAATTTAATGTTGATCTGCAGCTGGGAAGGAAATTGATTGCCTAATGAATTGTTGTATTGGAAATAATCGAACTAGTAAGTAAATTTCCTTTAAAAGCTCCAAAAATGTATTTAAAATTTACATTTATTTTATTGCGTTTTCTATATACTTTTGTTTGCCACTCAAATAGAAGTTTCACAAGCTTTTAGTATACTGTAGATTATAAATCTAAATTCTTTTCGACGATGAATATTTCGATAAAATAATCTAATATCTCGGTCTGAAATGATATCCTGCATCATTTGCATAGTTTCCAGACTATTTCGATAAGGTTCTTTGCTACCTGTGAGACCACTTTGCAATTCACTGCAGTAAAAATATTCATGGAGATGCAGGAGTGTTGAAGTATATTGCTATGCTCGCGAAGCCTCCATATCAGAGTACAACCGACCTGAAGTGCAGAAGCTTAAACTAAGGAATAATTATTACTGGAGTTGAACAGAAAGCCCCATCGTCCATCATATGTATCACCAGGCTCATTAAAGTTTGCTAATTGCATGCCTTTGCCACTGAAGGCAGGCCGAGTCAAAAATTGATTTTGCTGTCATTTCAGTTCTAAGAGACCGAGCTAATCGAACGTTAAGTGAAAACGAACAAATTACGCTAGATTCCTGCTGGTCTAACAAACTGAACTCTGTTACTGTATGAACCTTCTAAGCGATCTCCCGCCTCGCTACTATCCATCACCCACCGTAGCTGCAGTGAAGAATGAGCATCGAGATGCGCTGTTGCCGCCGCAGAATGAGAGGCCTCGGGGCTTTTTTATCTCACAATAGATGCCGAGAAGCTGTTGACTTTTGTAGACGCATTTGCACAACTCGGAGTGTCCACGCGTTGGTTTATAGTCTGGTAAATACATTTAGGAGAAAGAAGCTGTCTCCTCAACATATATGTTGAGGATAACATTGAAAAGAATGAAAATTTCTAACAAAAGCTATATTTCTAACCTGAGGATGTGTCTATCGAAGCAAATACTCTACACGGTAAAGAATGTATTGAATATTATTATATCTACTCACAAGATTGTATAGTGTGGCAGAAGTGTTGGCTGACGTGTTCATGATCACAGAAGATATGATAGTCGGCAACAAACTACAATTGCTCTGGGCACTGGGCACTGAATTGCTCTGCGAAAATCTAGTCATATACTAAATAAACATTCAAAGATCAAATATAAGAAGATTACTGCGCGAGAAATGATATATTGATTCATAAATTTAGCATGGCGTGAATAAAGGGTATTCCGAATTGAATTATCCAATGAAGCGAATTGCTTCTTATTTACTCACCTATATGATGAGAAAAATGTTGGAATGGTGCTTCTTGAGCCATTGTTCTATCGATGGAATCATTTCAAAATTTCATTATTTTTTTATGAATTTAAGCTGAATTCTTAGTAGCTGATTGCAAAACGAAATATTCTCCTCTGACAATAATATTTGATACATATTTTTTTAGTGACATTAAACCAATTAGTCTTTCCAAACTGCTCGATTCTCGGTATATTGATATTTAGCTTCACTAAAATTCGCTGAAGACTTACATTAGTATTAATATTCTAGCAAATCATATTATCTGGCTTAGTTATAAATACTATATGAAATAACAACTATGTGATTCTTGCTCAATAGCAGCACTAATATTCGTTGTAACCCGCGATCGCTACGCTATTTCTGGCAGCACAACTATTGCAACTGGTAGTACTGCAAAAGTAAAAATATTTACGGTTAATTACAACTATTATTTGGTGTTTTCTGCAGAGCGGTTTGCTACCGACGCCTGGGGCTGGACACAGTCGGCAGCTCCACGACCTGTTAACGGCTAGCCGAGGGCAGACGAGAGCGTCTCGTGGCTGAGATTTATGTGCCGGCCAAGCGATGGAGCGAGGCGATATCGGGAGAAGTTCTTCGGTGTCGTGTCTTCGCCAGCGCATCAAGATGCGTTCTGCTTAAATATCTTTGCGAGAAGCAATAACTCTGGCCATGATGCGACTATCGCGTCGTTACATCGCAATGAAGGGAATTTGCCCATTGATCTTAAAACAAGTAGCTGGCGCATGGCTGCTGTACCTTGGCTGCAGGCTGAAAAGTTTTAGGCTCCAGGTGAAAAGTTTCAACTTGTGACCTCTTTAACTTCAGCTTCAACCTCTAACTTCATACTTGAACTTTAACTCAAAAGACGAACGCGATGTAGTGTTCGTCGTGGCGATGTGCACAATGTAGTTACATACACTAGCGTTGATTGTATTTTGTGGACTCACATTAAAGAAACGGAGATAATACGGGTAAAATTTTTGTTCAACCAAACGCAAAGTTGATTCAACACTGAGCAAAACATTACATTCTTCAACTAAATTTTTGATGGCAGTTCACTCAAAAAGCTACTGTTGGATGTTCAGAAATACATAAGTATACTTCAGCGAATATACCAATTCAGGTCAAGAAAAGTGAAACCTGAAAATTTTCAATCCCAAATAAATGGTGGCATGGCAGAACCTTAATTCCACATTTTAAATGCAAGAGGAAAATAAAAAAAAAATACATTTTTTTGTGCGCTTAAAGTTTGATTCTAGCTGCTCAACGAACATCTATCTATAATAACTCTGAATTCTGTGAGCAGAATCCTCGACGCGTAAACATGTAATTCGCTCCAGTAGCGGTACTGCATGGAGCAGAATGCCAGAAACTGGAGCCAATTAATGTCTTGGT